ATCCCGGACGGACAGCACCGGGATGGTCTGGGCTCAAGGTTGGCCGCTCCGAGGTGGGCCATCCGGTCAGCGCTGGACGGTGATCCCCGGGAGACCGTGGAGCAGTCGCTGACCCCGGGGCCCTGACGCCGCCACGCCGTGCGTGTGTGTGTGCAGCCGGGGCATGGGGCGAGCCAGGCCCGAGTCGGATTTTCTGCCAAGGGAGCGTTCACGAGCTGCACAGGCAGCTGACTCGTCCTCCTGACGGCTGCCAGTCCCGGGAGGTTCTAGGCTTTGTCCCTCCCGGAACAGCCGGCCGCCCGAGGAAGGCTGGGGAAGAGGGGGAAGCGAGTTTGGAAAAAGCGTTCGTCAAAGGGCGCTGGGCTGGGTGCGGCACCAAGACAGCGTGCGCACATGTGCTGCCCGAGCTCTGGGCGGTGACTGCCAGGACCGGGCGGGACCGCGTGCACGCGGGCGGGGCCAGCACCCACGGGAGAGGACCGCCTGCTGGCCGCGGGGCACTTGGCTGGGCCTGTGGGCACCGTGTCCTTGCAGCGTGCGCCCCCCCACCCCCCGGCCCACGCAGGTCTGGGAAGCGTAGAAACCGTTAACCGGAAAGCGTTCTCCGGCGTCCGCCCTTATTCTCCAGATCCCGCCGTCGGCCCGACGGCCCCTTTCGGGGGTCCTCCTCCTGCAGTGGGGGGCGCCCTTCCTTGCGGGGGGCGGTGGAAATGGGGGCTGGCGGGGAAGGTGAGGAGAGGAGGGTGGACGGGCTGCAGGTCAGAGGGGCAAGGCGGGAGGACACGGGCGTTAGTGGGATTGCCGTGGAATCTGGCAAATGAACATCTTCACGGGGCCGGGGAGAGGCCCGCCCAGAGCTTGAGTCATGTTGGAATTGACCTCAGATGCCTCGACCGCAGAGTGGCCTGGAGGCCGGACCACGTGGGGCCAGCTTCCCCGGGGGGGCTGCCTTCCCGGACCTGCGGTGCTGAGCAGGGCGCATTCTCGGAGCCACCTTCCTGGGGGCCGCCTCTCCCCAAGGGCCGGGGGGGGGACACGTCTTTGGTGGAGATGGCCCGTCGCGGCCCAGGGCCAAATCTCGTTGGAGGTTGGGCAATTCTGTGATTCAGAGACACAGAGTTGTGGTGCTGACTCTGCTGCCAGACAGGGCAAAATGGTTCTGAGGATATTTTTGAAGAAGGAAAGGTCTCATTCTGGGTTTGCTTTGGCTTCCCACGAGGAGGTTCTTGGGGAGGACCTCCGGCCCCCGCCGGCCCCGCTCTGTCCGCCCCACGCCTCCGGCTCCTCGCTGGGCCATCACAGGCTTCCACCCCCCCTCCGCACACCGTCACCCCCACGCCGGCGGCGTCCTGGGCGGCATCTCCTCTGAGCAAGGTACAGAAAACGCCTTTTCCAGGCTAGAAAGGGACAGGCAGACCTGGAAAATGGCGCTTCGAAGGGGGGCGGAGCACCGATTCTCCACGAGGAAGGGGAGGGCGTCTGCTTCCCAGGGGACATGTGGCAGACTTGGGAGATATTCTGCGTGTCCCAAGGGGGGGGGTGACGATGGCATCTGGTGGGCAGAGTCCAGGGGCGCGGCTGAACACCCCGCAGCGACGGGGACAGCCACCCGCGGCAAAGAACGGCCCAGCCCCCCCCACCCAGTGTCCGCGGGGCGAGGCTGAGACATCCCGCGGACGGAGACACCCAAGGGAGCTCTTCACTTCCTGTCATTGTTTCCTGCTTTTCCAACATGCATTGGATTCCCGTCCCCAAGAAAAGTTTAAAGAAAGGAAAGCCTCTTTGCTCTTTAAGGGAGGCAAGCTGGGCATTGAAAAGAAACAAGTAATTACTAAGGTGCCAAGGAAAAATAGGGAGCACGGAGAGGGAGATCAGCCAGTTCAGGGAACCCAGTCTGACACACACTGGTCGAGCGGCAGCCCAGGTCGGGGCGCCGCAGGGCGCTGGGCCGGTGCGAGGTGAGCAGACGGGTCCCCCCGCCCGGAGGAGGTACCACGGGCTGTGCGGAACCTCACAGGCCGGGCCGAACCCGGCCCCGATGAGGCCACCTGAACAGCAAGCGTGAGGAGGGGGAGGGAGAGGGCCGGCCAGTGGGGGTCCGGGAAGACGGGGGCGGGTGGGGGGGGATATGAGGTGCCAGCTGGGTCTTGCAGGCCCGGCAAGACTTTGATGTGATAAGAGTTCAGACCCCCCCACCCCCACCCTGCTTCCCTGGCACTCAAAAATGGGGCAGTCTTGCGCTCATCAAAACTTCTACTTCTGTTCGTCTCCGGTCCCTCGTTTGTAAACGGGGTGGGACGATGAAGGCACATTGTCTCCTGGGCGGAGTCGCCGCAGGGTCACCTGAAGCCTGTGACGGGGGTCAGGGGATCACTGAGGACAGGCTCCCAGAGCGAACCCCGACACTGGGGCGGAGTCTGCATCACCCGCTGCCTGCCCCCCGCAGCAGTGCCCGGTGCCCACGGTCCTGGGTCCTGCTCGCCCGGTTGTTAGAAGGAGAGAGGAGGAGACAGGGTGGTCCTGGCAGGGGTGGGAGGGAAAGTGGGGGGAACAGGGCAGCCGGCAGCCTGGCCCCGGGCCAGGCACTGGGGGTGTGGCTGCAACCTGGCACGTGTGTGGTCCTCAGACCAGCTGGGTGGGCGGCGCCCAGGGCACTGTTGACAGTGCAGATGCTCACAGCCCTGCCCCAGACCGCCCGAGGCACAGTCTGCGTTTGGACAAGATTTCCCAGGCGATGTGTCTGTGTGTGTGTGTGTGTGTGTGTTAAACTTCGAGGGGCAGGGAGCTGGAACACCGGGTGAGGGGTGATGTGTGTGCAGCTGCAGAAGGGGGAGGGGGGAGGGCCGGGCGAGCCCTGCCGAGGAGCTGAGAGATAAAGGGTAGGTCGGTAGGTATACAGAGTTTTAGCAGGCGCTTTATACACGAACACACGCACATTCACGCTACCTTTGGCAGGTGGAGGGAGGTCGTAACAATTCTAAGCAGGGCTGCTCCCAGGGGCCTCGGTCATTGGGGGAAGGTCTCCAGGCCCGGATGCTCGGTTGGTAGAGAACTCGGAGGTGGGGGCCCAGCTAGTCCCCTGCAGTGCAGGGGGTGGGGGTCGCGCAGAGATGTGGGTGACCTCGAAGAAGGGAATTTGGGGGGGCAGCCTTGCTGGCCCTGAGTCTGGTGGGTCGCATGTGCCTTCTCCGCCCCAGGCGCCGGTTCCGGCTCGCAGCCCCCTTGAGTCCTCCTGACTGGGCACAGGGTCTCCCCAGGGCGGTACCAGCGAGCCCCCTAGCGCATGGCGGCCTAGCACGCAGAGCCCACCCCCCCACCCCGGCAGCCCGGTGGAGAAGGCGGTGCCGTGCCCAGCCAGGCCTCCGTGCACGGGGACGAGAGGAGGGGCCCACAGCTTCCCGGGCGTCCGCAAGGAGCCTTCGTCTGGGCAGAAAGTCACGTGCAAAACCGGGAATCTGCGTCGGCGGTTCTGTTCTCCCCAGCATCGCCGCGGAGCGCAAGGAGAGGTCGGACGGGGCACTCCGGAGACTGCTGCCTGCCCCTCCCGCTGGCCTCCCGGTCACTGCCTGACCCCCACCCCCGACGGGGCTGCGGTTTCTCACCGGGCAGCGAGGTGGCTGGCCCGGGCCCTAGAGGTCCTTTGAAGTGTTAGATGGCGAGCACGGGGCGGGTGAGGACTGGCCACCGCTGGTTGGCGGGCCACCCCGACTGCTCACCAGGGGGGGTTTGGTCTATTTTAAGCCCAAGCACTGCTGGGCCTGACAGTCTCTCTGCATTACCGTATTTTGCCGTGTATAATGCACACTAACGTTTTTGGCCCAAACGTTCGGAGAAAAAAAAATCTTTCATTTTATTTTTAAATTCAATTTTGTATTTACTTATAGTTAGAAGCAAAATCATGATTCTATCCAGGGTATTATTTTGCATATGGATATCGTTATTGCTTTGTAGAGTTACACCTTTACCGCATAAGAATACATGAAAGAATTAAAAAACCCTTATATAGATACAGAATTCATACTACCCATGCATAACGCACATTCTGATTTTTCCCTCAAAAATTTAGGCGAAAAGCCCTGGCTGGCGTAGCTCAGTGGATTGAGCGCAGGCTGCGAACCAAAGTGTCGCAGGTTCGATTCCCAGTCAGGGCACATGCCTGGGTTGCAGGCCACAGCCCCCAGCAATTGCACATTGATGTCTCTCTTTCTCCCTCCCTTCCCTCTCTAAAAATAAATAAATAAAATCTTTAAAAAAAATACTAACTCCCATATCCTTTCTGTGGGATTGCAAAAAACTTGTGTCAAGATTATCTGAAATTAAACCAATAAAAATTTTTTAAAATTTAAAAATTTAGGCAAAAAAGTGCGCATTATGCACGGCAAAATACAGTAGATGCCGCAGGACACTCACTGGCACGCCCCCTGGTGGCCGCAGGGCAATGTGCCGCCACTAGCCGCCTCGCTCATTTTTATAGCGCAGGCTGGGCAGAGCCTCGGGAAAGTGACCACCCGGGATTTTGCTCATTGTCCAATAGGGACGATGAGTGACCGTCTCCGGAGCCCGGGGGCTGAGAGGTCCGCTCCTGGGAGGCTGGGTGGGCTCGGGCAGCTGGGTGAGGCAGAGGCTGTAGGGGTGGGCTGCGGGCACATGGGCTACGTGAGTACACGCGACTGTGTTGAGAGTGTGTGCGTGCGTGTGTGAGTGTGGGTGTGTGTGCAGAGGGCGTGCGGATGTGTCACATGCACATGGCAGTGTATTTGAGTATGTGAGTTTGTCAAGTGTGTGCGTGCTTGTGTGAGTGTGCACATGTGTGTGCATGTGAATCTGTGTGGGTGTGCCTGTGCACGTGGGTGTGCACCGAGGCTTGTGACACTGTGTGTTCTGTGTGAGAATGTGCATTGCACGTGTGATCGTGAGTGTGAGTGTGCATGAGTGTGCAAGAGCGCGTGTGTTTCCCCGCGGAGCCCCCGCCCACCCGCACTCTCGGGGGCCTCTCCCAGCAGGGCGCGGCGGACGATGGGCTCCCGCGGACCCGGACGAGCGCTGGCGTGCTGCCTGCTGCTGGCCGTCGCCTGCGGGCCGGTGCTGGGCCACCTGCCGCCCGACCAGCGGCCCCTGCAGGAGCCGGAGGGGACCCAGGAGCCGCCGCTGGACCACACGGAGAGGTGAGGCTGCCAGTGCGGCTGCCGGAGCTCCAGCGTGGCCGGGCGGAGCCTGGGGTCCCGGCAGCTGGGACCCCGGGGTGGCGCTGCCCCTCTAGATGAGGAGGAGCTGCATCGGGGCCGAGGGGCCGCCCTCGAGGAAGCTGGGGGTACTGGCGGGCAGGCGTTTCCCCTCTCACCTCGGCGGAGGCTGACGGGAGTGACGCAGCCTCGTTCTGACCCTCGAGAAATGGGGATCTGGGCGGGGCTTTGCAGCCTCAGCTTTGACTGAAGGGCACAGCAACCCCCCCCCCCCCCCCCCCCCCGCCAGCCTCCAGGGCCTCCATTCCCGCTTGGTCCTCTGAGGGGGCCTGCTGAGCTTCCAGGAAATGGGAGCAGGGCCGAGGCCGGACCCAGGGCTGGGCCCCATGACCCTGACCTCTGGGTCAAATTGCAAGACGGGGCAGGAGGGTCGACACCCGCTGACGGGAACGGCATTCCTGGAAAAGTTATGGAATTCCTCTGGACGGCGGTGGCGATGCAGGCGGCAGGCGGGCCATCTGGGATGTTTTAGATTTGGAGGGACACACAGAATGCCTGGGATGCCTCGTGAGACTGTCATGCATCACACGTGAGGCCCGAGACACCCGGGTGACAGCCCGATGCCGGTGTTCTGTTTCTCCGTTATTTCCGAGCCCCGGGCTGACTTGATACCCAAGGCTTCGGGCTGTCTTCAGGGGAACTGCATGGGATCCTGCAGTCTGTAACACCCCCCACCCCTGCCCTTCCGGCCTCCTCCTCCGTGTTGTCATTCAGCAAACACGGACTGAGTGCCCATGGTTGGTCTGGCCCTCTGCTAGGCACCGCCCCTGGCCTCCAGCGACTCTGAGGCTGTGTGGGGGCAGACAGGACCCAACGCAGTGACGGGGGCCCACAGTGCCGGGGGAGACGAAGCAGAGGGGCGCCTGTGTCTTGAAGGACAGGTGGGAGCCTCCCAGGTGCGGAAGGAGGCAAGGCCGCCCCGGCAGCCAGGGCAGCACACCTGTAGGCGGGGCCCCGCGGCACCCGGCAGCCTGAGGGCTCTTTGCTGGGGAGGAAGGGTCAGGGGCTGGAGGGAGGAGGTTGGGAGAAGCGATGAGGCTGGTGGGGAAGGGTCTGTCCTGAGCCTCCCCGACCTTCTCCCGGGGCAGCAGCTCCCCCCCCCCACGGGCCCCCTCTCCCGGGGGAGTCCCAGGAGAGGTCCAGACTTAGCAGACTTCTAGAAAGAACGCCGAGGGAGGCAGAGAGGAGGATGCATGGACATGGGGGTGACGCATTCCAGGGGAGAAGCCACCAAGGCAAGGGCCCGCGAAAGACGGACGAGGAGGGCCCAGGGGTGCGGGTTCTGGAGCCACCTGCGTGTGGCCGGGCCTGAGTCCTCCGACCGCTGCCAACCTTGGAAGGCAGCAGCGAAGCCAGAGAAGCACCTAGCATGAGGCTGAGAGTTCCGTTCGGGGTGACCGGTGGTGCCAGGAAGCTTTGGAAAGAAAAGATTCTAGGGGCAAAGTGACAGTGACAGGCCGTCACACCACGGGGCTGGTGGAATCTCTGGGTGGAGACTCCTTGTGGGAGTTGGGGGTGGGGTGGGCAGGGGTCCATCTGAGAGACCAGGGCTTGTGGGTGGCGGCATTTAGGGCGTTGAGATCCACTTCCTGGACTGCCGGGGTTTGCAAGCCGGAGTGGGGTTGGATGGGGAGCTGGCCCTTTGAGAGGGGCTGTGCCACCACCCCCAAGGGGTCTGGCCGCTGCAGCCCCGAGCCTGGGTGCCGAGCCTCGAGCAAGCGAGCAAGCGAGCGAGCGTACTGCAGTGCAGCCGCGTTGCCACAAGGGGGCAGCACGCGGCCGTCACCCTCCACCCGGCCCAGGAGCAGGTCTCCCCACGCCAGGTTGTAAACTTAGAGCCTCCAGCGGCTGCGGCCCGAACGGACCCCAAAGATGGAGTCAAACCCTCTCATTCACAGAGAGTCGGCCTCGCAGGGCATCTTCGAGAATCCTGGATGCACGAAGGGGACGGCCAGTCGCTGCCGCGTCTCACGCGTGGGGAGACCTCCTCCCCGCAGGGCCGACTTCCCCCGAGCGGCCCAGAACCCTCACGTTACGACTGTTTCCACCACTACTGACGCTGTTAGAGAGGGCAGGGGGCTCAGGAACCAGCCCCACGGAGGGTCCCGGCGTTCACCAAAAGCCCGCGGGGCTCCGTGCGGGAAGGCTCGCACAGCCCCGTGCGCACCCGGCTCCCGCAGCGCGGGGCTCTCACTGCGACGTCCTTATTCCCTTAGGGCCGAGGAGGAGCATGAGAAGTACAGCCCCCGGCAGGACGAGGAGGCCCCCGCTTCCCGGTGCTATCGCTGCTGTGACCCCGGTGCCCCCGCGTACACCGCGGTGCCGGTGCCACAGATCAACATCACCATCCTGAAAGGTCAGGGCGCGGCGGAGGGCCCTCGCCCCCCCCCCCGGGGGCCGGCCTGCGGCGACCCAGTAGGGCGGAGGAGGGGGCCATGACGGCCCCCTGGGGGCGCAGGGCAGAGGCAGACTGACCTCACAGGGGCAGGAAGAGGAGATTCCATTTCCGGGGCTCTTGGCCTCTTTCCAAGAGGGGAGCTTGGACCTCGCCTACCTGCGTTCCCAGGGCAGGCCTCTGGGGTCTGAGTTTGGAGGCGCGGTGCTGCCCCGCCCCCTGCCGTCTGCACGCGGGGCCCCGCCCACAGCAGATAACCGGGCGTGGCCTGCGAGCAAAGTCACACTGGGGAGAGCGGCGGCTGGGTCGGGGATCCCAGCGCCCCGCCAACGCCTGCAGCCCTGCACTTGCTCCGAGTGGGCCGTGGCCTGGGCGCCCCACCTGCTGCGTGTGGACAGCCCCCTGTGCGGGGACTTTCCAGAAGGAAAAAAGAACGCTAGCTTCGGGGCGGAAATAGAACCGCCCCTGAGGCTGGGTCTGCTTGCTTGTTGCCACGCGTTTCCCTGTCCCTTTCAGGTGAGAAGGGTGACCGCGGCCTGCGGGGCCTGCAGGGGAAATACGGCAAAACGGGTGCGGCGGGCGTCCGGGGCCACGTGGGACCCAAAGGGCAGAAAGGCTCCGTGGGGGCCCCCGGGGACCGGTGCAAGACCTACTACGCCGCCTTCTCCGTGGGCCGGAAGAAGCCGCTGCACAGCAACCACTACTACCAGACCGTGATCTTCGACACGGAGTTCGTGAACCTCTACGGCCACTTCAACATGTTCACGGGCAGGTTCTACTGCTACGTGCCCGGCATCTACTTCTTCAGCCTCAACGTGCACACCTGGAACCAGAAGGAGACGTACCTGCACGTCATGCGGAACGAGCAGGAGGTGGTGATCCTGTACGCCCAGGTGAGCGACCGCAGCATCATGCAGAGCCAGAGCCTGATGCTGGAGCTGCGGGAGCAGGACGAGGTGTGGGTGCGCCTCTTCAAGGGCGAGCGCGAGAACGCCGTCTTCAGCGACGAGTTTGACACCTACATCACCTTCAGCGGCTACCTGGTCAAGCACGCCGAGGAGCCCTAGCCGCCTGCCCCCCGCCTGCCGCGGCCCCGCCGGGGGCTGCCCCCCCACCCCCCACTCCCGCCCCGCGCCGACGGCCCTGAGGTCCAGCACCAGGCCGGCTCCATCAGCTCTTGCCCCAGTCCGGGCTGCCCCGGTCCCCGAGTCCCCAGCCTGGCATTCGACACGAGGCCCTTCGCAGGAAGGGAGGGAGAAATGGCCGTGCGGTTCCAGGACTTGCCGTCTCCGGAGACAAAGTCGAGGGGTGGGGGAACCTATGGGGAGCAAAGCTCAGTAGCGCCCAGGCAGAGCCACGCACCCCGGGGTGGCCTCCATGCCTGTCCCCCCGCATCAGCTTCAGTCCCTCCTCTCAGCTCGTCGCCCACGGGCGGCGGCGGCCACCTGTGATCCTCCTACCGGCCGTCAGGATTAGATGACACCTCCTCTAACCGTGCCCCTCCCCCCAGCACAAGGTCTCAGATTCCTACATCCCAGAGGGCTCAGCCTCCAGCTCCCGACGCCCCCCCTCAGGCCTGCGACCAGCTCCTGCGACGACGCAGGAGCAGGAGAGAGCCGGGAAGGGCTGGAAGGCTCCCCTCTGCCTGTCTCAGGGCTCCCGTGGGGCTCAGCCCCTGACACCGGGGAGAGGGCCTGTCCCACCGGTGGGGCCAGAGCCCCCTCTCCCGGGCGGGCAGGCGGGCTGCTGCCCCGATTGGTGCTGTGGCCTGCGGCCCACGTTGGCCTGGCGGCCCTTCCTGCCTCTCAGGAACCCCCGCACCCCCGGGGCCGGTCCCTCTCCTGCCTGCCTGAGCCCCTCCAGGAGGCCTCCCGCCCACCACCAGGGGGCCTTGGCCTTGACCAGTGCCTCCACCCACCCGGGGCCTGGCCACGCCGCGCCCCTCCCCCTGAAGGACTTCTGCCGGTCAGACGTTGGGACCCACGCCCCACGGGGGCGCCCGCTGCCGCTTCCTGCTGTCCCGACGCCGCGCTCTCAGAAAACATTAAACTTGGAACTGAGTTTCAGCATCGAGGCCGCCTCCGTCTGGTCTGTGAGCCCTTCGGTCCCCGCCCCCACGCCCCACCCGCCGCCTGTGGGAGGCCCCGGGGCGGCGGAACCCCCGAGGCACAGGCCCGGCCTGAGCTGCCTCTTTCTTCCCGGGACACGTCTCACACGCTCCTCGGCCTCTGAGTGTCGGGCGGGACGTGGGCCTGGACGGCCGTGTCCGTTGCCTGGGGCTGTCGGACACGCCACCGGGAGCCTGGCCGGCTCGCAGGTCGGAGATGACCCGTCTCACAGTCCTGCAGGCCGGAAGGGCAAACCCAGTGCGGGCCGTGCTCCTCCCTGCCCGGCCCCCCGGGCCTGTAGGGCAGGGTCCCCCCAGCTTCTCCCAGGGCCTGGGGGCCCCAGGCGCCCCGTGGGCTGTGGCTGCGTCCCTCCAGTCTCTGCCTGGGTCTGTCCTCCCAAGGTCTCCTTCCCCGTGTCTCTCTCTCTAACCCCCCCTCTTTTGAGGACACGGGCCATGGGTGTGGGGCCTGCCCTCACCTGGGGTAACCTCTCGAGATCCTTAAGTTAATTATGTCTGCAAGACCCTATTTCCAAACAAGGTCACGTTGGCAGGTACAGGGGGACACAGTTCAGCCCACGTGCGGGACCTGTGTGCGGGACCTACATACAGGACCTGCTGCTCAGCGACAAGACCCCCCCTGCCCCCCGAAAGCCCCCTTCAGGTCTGAGCGGTGAAGGGCAGATGCCTCTCCCCTTCGCGGGCCGGCTGGGTCCTCCGCCAGGGCCCCCCACGGCTGGCAGCAGGCGGTTCGGGAGGTGCCTACTTCTTCTGGGGCCAGCAGGCTGGCCAACAGATGCTGTCCCTCTGCTGCCCGGTCCTGGGGTGGTGAGCCTGGGCAGCCTCGGGCTGGGGCCGGGCCGGAACCCGCTGACACCGCAGTCCCGCTGGCCGTAGGACAAAGGGTGTCTCGGGCCCCCACGGGGGGCTGCTTCCCACACAGCGGGGAGCGGGACGGGGTGGAAGCCCCGCAGGGCCGTGGGGAGACAGTGTCAGCTTCGCCCAGGTGCCCGCCAGCTCCCTCTTCCGGGGACAGTGACATGGAGCGAGTGACCCCTGTCCCACTGCTGGCCATGCCCACGTGGGAGCAGAGGCCGTGTTTGCTCTGGGGCGCACCTGCAGCCCCTCGGGGTACCCCCAGCTTCTGCGGTCTCCCCGAAGCCCCTGCTCCCCGCCCTGTCTTCTGCCCCCATCCCGCCAGCTTTCCCTCCCCACTCGGGGGCGGGGGGAGGGGAGACCTGGCACTTGCTGCCGGAGGACTTTCCGGGACTTTCACGGCAGGGCGACGGGGACGCCAGCCTCCTCGGGAGAGCGGTGTGCTGGGCCCCGAGTCGTCCGCGCCCTCCGAGCCCCTCCCGGGGCACCTGACCTTCGCAGGCCCCTTTCCCGCCGTGTCCCGGCCCTGCCGGGAGAGGACTGGCCCAGCCGCCCTGGGCGGAAAGGCCTGGCAGAACCAGTTGCCACGCAAACGCCAGTGTTTCGGCAGAAGGCCTTGGAGACGGCGATGATTCGGCCAGAGGGAGCAGCTGCTCGCGCCAGGACTCTCGGGGGGTCTCTGCGGCCGAGGGTGGGAGCGGCGAGGAGGGCGCTGCCCGGTCCCGGGCGGGGGCCACCGTGGCAGTGTGTCCGTGCTCAGGGTCGCTTCCTGTGGGGCTCCCCCGGCGCGGGGGGCACAGTGGCCGTGGCGTTGGGTCACAGGAACTGGGACAAAGTGGAACCTTCTTGCTTAGACCACGAAAGACACGGAAAGTGACAGAAAGTAAGAACAGAAACTAGACATCTCCACGGGGAAGAGGGTGGGGTCGGACCCCGACCTCACACCACGTACGAAGATGAACTCGTTGAACTGGCCCGGGGCCCACGTGCGGGGGCCGCCGCTATAAAATCCTTGGGGGAAAGCCTGGGTGTAAATGACCGTGACCTTGGATTAGGCAAGAGTTTCCTAGCTATGACCTCACCAGCACCAGCCGCAAACGACAGGAATGACAGATGGGTTGGACATCACCGAAATTCCAGGCTCTGTGCTTTAAAGGCGCCGCTAAGAAGTTGAAAAGGCAACACAGAGCAAAAGAAAATATTTGCCGTCAAGCATCTGATAAAGGATTGTATCTAGAATGCATACAGGACTTTCCAACTCAAAAATAAAGAGACAGCCCAATTCAACACGGACAATGGATCTCGACAGACCTTTCCGCCCAGAAGGGACACAAACGACCCATAAATGACCCACGAAAAGGTGCTCAACGGCATGGGCCACCAGGAAAATGCAGTCAAAACCACGGCGAGGTGCCACTTCAGGACCAGCAGGGTGGCTGTTGCTAAGGTGACCGGGGTTGGCGAGGGTGCAGGGGAGACCGGAGCTCCTGGGAGCCGCTGGAGGAAGGTGAGGCCGGGCGGCGGCTGCTGCGGGGAACCGGCCGGAGCTTCCCCGAAACGTGAGACGGAGCTGCGGCTGCGCAGGCGCGGACCCCGAGAAGCACAGACACGCCCCCAGGCCCAGTCGGAGGCGAACGCTCAAGACAGACGAAACGTGGGACCGCCCCCACATCCGTCAGCCTATGGATGGATGGACGGACGGACGGACAAGTGTCCCTCCAAGGAGGGAGTGACACGCCCCAATGAAGAGGGACGAGGCACTGACACCCGCCGCAGCCCGGACGACCTCCATTCAGCGTCACATTCAGCAAAAGGCGCCCGTCGCCGAGGGCTGCACGGGGTTTGATTCCAGGGACATAAGGGGCCGGGACAGGCCGGCCGTAGTCCCGGAAAGGGGGCCGGAGGCTTCCAGGGCGCGGTGGGGGGATGGGCACGTGCGGGGCGAGTGCTGGAAGGCGCCAGGGTTCTTTTGGAGCGACGAGGAAGACGCTCTAGAACTGGCTGTGGCGGCGGCTGTGGCTCTGTGCACAGACCCAGAACGCCGACTCCCACACTGTAAGTGGGTGAGCTGTGAGGCATGTCAGTTGTATCTCCGGAAGGTCGTTACAAAAAACGAACCACCCACCCCGACCTGTCTCCTGCCTCAACCGCGTTTGCACGGAACAGACCCAGGGACGCCCCTTCTTCCAGCCTCCAACCGCCCCCCGCCCCCACCTCCTTTGCAGTCGCCACCTTCACAACCACCCCCGGCCACCCCGGCCTCCGAGACCAGCCAGCGCCGGTTTTTGACCTTAACCCCTGACTACCGAGCAACCGTGAGCTCCCGGGTTCGCCAGAATCATTGCCCCCGGGGGCCCGCCCACCGGCACCTGCGGCCGCCCGCACCCACCTCTCTCTGGGCTTCTGAGTCCACCGGGAGGCTGGGCCCTGGAGGCCGGGGCCACTGTGTCCCCGAGGTGGCCCGGGACACGCCCAGGGCGCCCAGCGGCTCCTGAGGATGCAAACCCGGGGAGGCGGCCGGGCCCTCTTCCGGGACGTGCAGAGGCCGTCCCCACCACCAGGGGGGCGACACTCAGGGCGCCAGGGAAGCCGCCGGGGTCCCGGAGAAGGGCCTGACCCAGGCCCCGGGAGACCTGTGGGCCCTCGTGCTGCCCGCACAGCCCCTGGGCTCCGGGACTTCCTGGGGGGCCACTTCCTGGGGGGGCAGGTGAGCCTCCTCGAGAAGAGGGGCGACCGCCTGGCTCCCTCCGCAGGCTGCCGGTCCCAGGACCCCGGCCGGGCCACTGTCTCTTCCGCAGGGTCCCCCTGGAGCACGAGACCGTGGAGCCCAGAGGCCCCCCTGTGTCCCCCGGTGTTTGGCTCCTGCCTGAGCCCCTCCCTGAAACCACGAGGCAACCTCTTCACCGGCCCGGAGCCTCTCCCCGTGCGTGCGGACCAAATGGAAACAAGGCCTTTTGCAGGGAAAAGAAACCCCGAACAAGCTCACAAGTGCCTTGCCCTTCTCTGCTGAGGTCTGGGGCGTCCGGGAGCTCTGGGAGCGTGCCCGCGGGGCCAGTCTCATTATTGCCGGCCGGGCCGGGCTGCGCCGGGCTGAGGGTGGGGCCAGGGGCCGCGGGGCCACCTGGGGGTGTCAGGGCTGGCCCTTCCCAGAGCATGACGGGAAGGAGTGGGAGCCAGAAGGTAGCAGGACGGTGTATTCAACGGGCTGGAAACGAATAACTGCCCATCTCAAGTTCTATTCTCAAAGAAAATAAAAAAAGCCCTGGCTGGTGTAGCTCAGTGGCTTGAGCGTGGGCTGCGAACCAAAGTGTCCCAGGTTCGATTCCCAGTCAGGGCACATGCCTGGGTTGCAGGCCATGACCCCCAGCAATTGCACATTGATGTTTCTCTCTCTCTCTCTCTTCCTCCCTCCCCTCCCTCTCTAAAAATAAATAAATAAAATCTTAAAAAAAAAAACAGGAAAAAAAAGAAAAAAAAAACCCACTAACATTTTCAAGCACACACAAATCGGGAGAGTTTGTCACCGGAAAACCTGCTCTGTGTGAACGAGAGGACATCATGTAGGAACGGAAGACAGGCCACCGGAACGGTAACCGTGGTGGGAATCCTAACGGAGTATTGCCTGCCTGAGAAAACAAGTGACGACTCGGAAAACACGCGTGTGGGAGTTCCTCGGACTCGCGAACCCAGCGCCACCGCGAGACCCAGCAGGCCCGCCCTGAGGACGGAGCCAAGAGAAACCAGAGCAGACGCCCACGCGCAAACTCGTGCCCGAGGGCCCAGGGCAGCGTTGCCCACGGCAACAAGGCTCGGGGTGGGGGTGGGGGCTCGCCACGCCCACCGCTGGGGGAGGTGGGGGATGAATGGACCCCGTGCACGGCCGGGCCGTGGAACGTCCTCCGGAAGTGAAAAGAATGCAGCGGGATGCTGCCACGTGCTGTGACACGGGGGAGTGGGCAGAACGTCACTCCACGTGACACCCAGGGCTCACATAGGGCGTGACTTCTTTTATGTGCGAGGCCCGGGGCGGGAAATCCGCAGGGACAGGAGGCCGATGAGGGGTCGCCCTGCGCCGGGTGTGGGGGG